GTGGAACGATGAATATAACTCAAAGGCGAAACGGATTGCTTTTGTCGGGCGTGCGCTTTGAAGACCAGCGGCCTGGCAGGAGCGGACGGGGTATAAATTTGCACGAGTGTCGTGCCTGCCGGATGCATGACGAACGGCTGGGACAGGTCGTCTTGGCTCAGAAAAGCTGACTGCTCCACCTTCCCGGCCCAAGCTCTCCCCCTCCCCCTCCCCCGATGTCATGCATCGGCGGAGGGCGGGCGCCAACGGCAATGACTGTGACAACGGGAGCCTGCCTCGAATAGATACGCACCAAGTGCAAGGCGGAGGACGGGGTGAGTAGGCACGCGACTCAGGCGGAGCGTTATACGAACTTTTTACGAGTCAGCATGTCGTTAGGATAGACAAAAGGAGGCGCACTTCAAAAGACGAGCTCGTCAACTGATAATAGCATCAGCGCCATCGCCGCCGCACTAATTAGAGCTGAAAAATACCCAGAAAGTCGCAAAATGTGCCCACTGTTTTTCAAACCTCAAACAAAAGCGACGTAACGCAATCAAGACCAGCTCCTTTTGAAGGAAGTGTCTCAACCTAAGCAGGAACTAAGGCTTCATTTTCTCATCTGCAGCAGAAAGCAGCACGGAAGTATGGGTCACGGCGATACCAAAAGAAACGAGCCCGCCCCGAGGTCGAACAGATTTCTGCATGACCTTTTTTGCGGCTGTCAGTCAAAAGGCTATCGCACAAAAAATAAAAGTGGTATCATCATTCATCGACGCTCACGACCCCGTTCTTCCCATCATGTCGCCGCCGTCCCTGGATAAACTATCTTCATGGCCACCTGATAATGCCAGCGAAGAACCGAGTTCTCGTCGTGGGAAAACTGTTAAAAATTCCTAAATGAAACCTGGAATGTGCCACAGATCCTCCTTGAAGTGGATGACAAATGATAATCGATGATGATTAATCACAGATCAGTGCGATCAGATCAATGCCAAGTTGCACCGGACGGCGCCATAACACCATTAAAAAACGACGCCTATGCGGGTGGCAAATAGCCAAGGCATATGTCAATTGGAATATTGGCCATATACCCAGCATATGTCAAATAAAATATTGACCATTTTGTCCCCAACATGCAAACTGACAGCATGACTAACCGAAAAACAAGGACAATCTGCAGCACCGGCTTTACTCGTGCCGAAGATGGCACCGCTCAGGACCGGCGAGCGTACAGGGGGCCGGCCGGCCGGCTGACGGGCCGGGACCCGACCGGGCCTGCCGAACCAGTTCCCAGAGCTGCCCGGTCCCGGGACGCCCCGGGACGGGACGGGGCACTCGATCCTGAATAGGCCGGCACCCCGCCGGCAGCTCCGGAGAACACAGGACACCGGCCCCGCCTGCACAAAGACCCAGCCTTCGCCGGCGCATTTCTGCTTGTAAATCGCGCATGAGGAACAGGTTTACGCGAGAAGCGGGGATGGCAGAGGTCGGACCCGGACCGGCGCGGTCAATAGGCGCCGCGGCCGCCTTTTGTGCGCGGGAAATCGGCCGTTATTTGTATTTTTCCAGACCGCGGCGATCAGGTTGGCGCTGGTGCCGAGACAAAAAGCCGACTCACAAAGAGAGCCGGCGGCGGCGCGCCCTCAATGGCGACGACGGCTGTGGGTCGCCTTCCGCCCATCCCTCAGGGTCGACAGGCCGTCCCTCAGCGTTAGACCAAGCCTATCGACAAGCCTGTTAGACCAAGCCCGTCGACAGGCCGACGGTCTGTCAACCCTGAGGGACGGCCCGGCCATGAGTGACGGCCTGGTTTAATGCTGAGGGACGGCCTGTGGTCCCTGAGGACTGATGTCCCCTCCAGGCCGTCACTCATGGCCGGGCCGTCCCTCAGGGTCGACAGGCCGTCCCTCAGCGTTAGACCAGGCCGTCTCTCATAGCCGGGCCGTCCCTCAGGGTCGACAGGCTGCCTCACAGGGTCGGGGTCAGGCCGTCCCTCAGGGTCCACGGCCGTCCCTCCGGGTCGGGCTGTTCCTGAGCGGCTTCCCCGCCAGGGTCCCAAGCCGCTCAGGTCACAAACACTCGCCAACGGGGCAGATCGGAGACGGGCCCCAGCTCCCGTTCGCCCAGGGCAGCTATTCGGGCATATCGCCGCGTCTACGAACCCCGCCAATCTCAGCTTGCGTCTCCCGTGCATTGTTATTGGCCGAAGTTGTTGATTTGACGGCCGGTTGCTCCGTGCAGCTGGCAGACTGTCAGCTGCAGGACAAGCGGTCCGTATGGCTCCAGCCGAGCGAGAAGCCGGCGCCGTGGTCCAGAAGGCTCGCGGCTGGCCACGGATCCGAGCAGGAGCAGCCAATGAAATGGCGATATCCTTCCAAGCCATAGCGCATGACGTCAGAAGTTCGCGTCGAAGTCCTGCGCATGCCCAGCTTATTATACGCCTGTTGCGTCTGGCTTCAGCGCGCCCTGCCGCGTGAAGTGGCGAGGCAGCGACGAAATGCGGCGTGCAGCCGCGCAGCAGAGACGAAGTGCGACGTGCCGGGCGCGGTAATCCGGCGCCGTCAGGCGGGACAATGATGGAGTGCGGCCGGCGGCGGCAGCTGCTGAGCACGTGGACGCTCAGCCCTATATCCCGGCCGGCCGGGGGGAGGGGCAGCGGTAGGGGGGGGGGGGGCGCGGGCCCCGCCATCTGGCGCTCCATTTATTTCCAGCTCCGGCGGCGGCGCGCGAGACGCGCCGGCTTTGTCGCGCGCCAGCGTCACGTGACACCCGCGCCTGTCACGTGACGAAGTGCGCATGGCGTGACGCCGGCGCCGGCGCGCGCTTCAGATGCGGCTGGATAGCGTCACACGTCATCACAATCGTGTAACGGCGGCGGCGATACCATCGCCGCCGCGCCGGCCCGGCCGCGGCGCATTGTCAAGGCTATTACCGCCCGATGAAAACAAGTCGCGCGCGCGCGAGCGCCTCTTCGCTGGAATTAATGCCGGCCGCCCAACAAATAAACGCATGGATAAACGCGCATAGTGCGCCGCGGCGAGTCGTATCTCTGACGCGGGGTCCTGTACGGCCGCGACGCGCCGCGCCGCGCCCGCTCAGGCCGAACCGCGCCTGCACACCGGGCCGCGGGCCGCGGACCGCGGGATACCCGCGATCCGAGGAGGGAGATGCTGGCGTCAAGGGCCGGCTCGGCGGACTGCCTGGCGGCGTGCGAGAGGCTGCCGAAGCGATTGCTGGTGAGGCTCGGGTTTGGTGTGGAGTGGTGAAGGGGGTGGGGACATAATTAGGTGCCGTAGCGAGGTGGCGAAGAGGTGGAGAGGTGCCGCGAGCATCTTTGAAAGCCGCGGGAGATGCGGAGGCTCAGGCACGGAGACGCGAACTGGTGCGACCGGACCGGAGTCGGGCCGGAGTAGAGAGTGATGAGCTGGTTGGGGTGGTGCAGGCCTCGGAGTACCGTGGTGCCGTGGTGCCGTGCTGCCGTGGTGCCGTGGTGCGGTGGTGCGTGTGCGCTGATAACTCTCGGAGACGGGATGGTGCCGTGGTCCACGCCAAGAGACGGCGCCTGGTGCAGCTGATCGGACCTACATACTGAAGTGGCGCGGCAGCTACGGCTTGGTGGCTTCTAGTCCTGGTTTGGAGCCGGGCGGTGCCTGCTTCCGTGGAAGCCATGGTTATGTCGTGGTGCTGAGATTCGTCCCCAGTGACGTCAGCATTGGCGTGAGATTCGTCCCCAGTGACGTCAGCATTGGCGTGAGATTCGTCCCCAGTGACGTCAGCATTGGCGTGAGATTCGTCCCCAGTGACGTCAGCATTGGCGTGAGAGCGCCGAGCTGCTTTGGGAGTTGGAGAGTTCTGGAGCGTATGGAGCGGCATTCCAAAAGAGGGTGAGTGTGTTGTGGCATTCCAGCGCCGGACGGGGGTGCTGCGGCGTTCCACCGAAGGGAGACGGGTAAAGGCAGCATTCCTGAACAGCAATCGAATCGCTTGACGACGTCCTCAAATGGATGGGTCTCGAACGGCGCAGAGGAAACTACCGAACAGAAA